AATTTACGAAACACTTAAATTAGCTTTTTGACTGGTCAAACAGCTAAAAGCTGTTCAATAAGCTAAAAGCTCTTCAAAAAGCTATTTGCCAAACATCCTCTTACTTTCCTCTAAAAAATTATAAGGTTGTTTCATGTAGATTTTCTCATTTAGATCATCATGTAGGAAAGCAATTTTAACATTCATTTGTTTTAATTCCAAATTAAAGTGAGCAACTAAGGCAAGTATAATCCTAAGAGTAGTATATTTAATTACATGTGTAAAAATTCCAGTGTAATCAATCCATTCTTTTTTAGTAATACCTTTTGGTACCAATATAGCTTCAAATATTATATTATCATTTTCATTTTTAACTTTGAAAATTCGTTTACAATCAAGAGTAGAACATTTTTTAGGTGTAGGAAAAAAAAATCCATGTATTATTTAACATGCAAGTAACTCATTTCATCACGCATTATATTTAGCCAATTTTCATCATTTTTAGATTTAAGAGCTTTCTAATAGGATTTAGGTTCATTTTCATCTAATGATTCAAACACAGTAAAAATATACGAGGTCAAGTCATATTCATTAAACCTAGTAGGTGGCCTAGTGAGTTTTTAGTCCTATCTCTAGTCAGTTGATAGTTTCCAAGTTCTCATATTCTAATTCAGAATTTACAGCATTATGTAAGACATTTTCAGATTAAAAAACAAATAACTTATCATGAGAATCAGATATATCATGCAAATGTTCAGAAATTTTCAATTTATTGGGCTCCACCTTATTTGGCTCCGCCTCGTTAAGAGTCAAGATAGTTTTAGTATTTGACACATTCAAGCAAGACATTTCATTTACATTAGAGGTGACGTCTCTATTAATCAATACTTTGAAACTTAGTTCATCTTTTAACCACAATCTATATCATTTTACTCCTAAAAGACATCATAAGAAAATGTATTTCACAACTTTAGATTCAAGTTTATCAACTTTATATAAAGCATATGTAGCACAATCAAATGCTTTCAAATTGAAAAAACCAAGTTTCTTATCAGACCATACAGATTCAGAACATTACCCCTAAGTGGCATAGAAGGAGATCTATTAATTAAGTATGCAACTGTTATCACAGTTTCTCCCAAAAACCTCTTTGAAAGACCTGAAAAGTTAAACATACTTATCACCATTTCGATAAGAGTTAGATTCATTCATTCCGCACCCCATTATGTTGGAGTGTATAAGGAACTATCTTATGTCTAATTATCTTTGATTAAACACATAATGAATCAAGTCACTTATTAGCAAATTCAACCAAGGTAATTAAAATAAGTGATTAGAAAAAAAAAAAATAGCTTCCAAAGATATTAGATTTTAGCCCAATTAGTGAATAAGAAATCAGATTGAAGATTCGATCATCGATTTTAAATAATCTTGTTTTTCAATTGATAAATTGGTTATAGGCATTAGATACGATCGTAATGCCCAATTTTTTCTTACTTTATTGGCGGCAATGGTACGACCAATTAACTACATCCCTAATCAAAAAAATAATCTAGATACGACCATAAATTAATTTTCCAATTGAAAATAGCATGAGAAAAACTCAATTTAAATATTCAATCAATTACGAAAAGATTAAATGATTTAATCATGCAATTTCTAGGCTAAACTTGTCGACCTATAAACCACTTTATCAAACAAATGCACAATTACAGATGCAGATGTTCAACTAACAAATAATTGCTAAACCAATCTAAAATCCTACCGTGATAAAAGATTAAATAAAATAATTGTAAGCATGAATTACAGAAATTGCACAAATATCAATTTACTAAACAAGATGCAATTTAAACCAAAACATAATTTCACAAATCAAAATCCAAAATCTACATTCACCCTTGGACTAGATTAGAAAATTAGTCACTCATGGTTAGAAATAAATAAAAGCAGTAAAAATAATGATTATCTGACGGCGCTTCCTCTCAAACTGTCTTTTCCAATCCTCCAAGCTAGGCTATGAAATTAGAGTATAAGTTGTGATGTTTCATTCAATGATTCTTTTATAGACGATCAAGTTTTCAATTAGTTTTTTAATCATTCACGATTACTTCTTAATTGCTCATTTCCATCTTTAAATCTAAAATTCACTCAATCGTTAACTCACAAATTTGGCAGGGACGCACATCACTCCATTTTGCCAGTAATTATGATTATACTAAAATTAGTAGAAATCTTATTTAATATATTAACTATCATTTATAATTTTACTACAACATATATAACAATGTATACTTAATCAGACTTCCTCTTTGAGTAGGAATAGGAGCTGGATCCCACAAATCAACAACATATATTTAAATACATCCTTACATTTAGCACTTTATGGACATGAGAAAAATCAAATTTTACCCTATGTTGCCTACCATAGACACACGAGTCACAAAAGAATACAATAGTAATCTTATCATTTAAAACAAAACTATTTTTCTTTAAGATTTCAAGAACTTTATCACTAAGGTGATCCAATCTTCTATGCCACAATTCAATTTTATCATTAACAAAAAAAAATTTACATTTGACATGCAATTTGGTTTAGCATAAACAACATACAAATTGTTTTATCTAACAGCCTTAAATGCAACAAATGAACACATTAAGAGTTTCATAACACCATTTTACTATTTTCCTATTTATCCACTTTCATCTAGTGCAATACATAAAGTCAAATTATTGCACAATCAGGAGCATATCTAACATGTTTTAAGGTTAACACAGAGCCAGTATTGAACTTTAGACAAATACCACACATACCAACAACTTTACAAAGTTTTTCATTTTCCATTTAAACAGTAACATACGATATAGATCTATAGTTTGAAATTTTTTTTCTTAAACGAGATATATGAGAATTCCAGTACACACAGAGTCAAGTAACAACTCATTAGCACAAATAGCATTAACAACAACACAATTTTTTTGAACCATGAAAACATCTCTTATACATTCATTTTCTATAGTCATATTAACATGCTCATTATGTTGGTTTCTAAAGTTTTTAGGATGTGGACATCGCTTAACATAATCATTAAGATCTCCACAATTGTAATATTTTTTGTTCTTAGGCCTAGACATAAACCTATATTTCACATAATCCTTATCAGATTTTTTTGATTTTCTGTATTTTTCTTGACTTGTGATCTAACTTTAGCAAACATCACTTCAACAGTAGCATGCTTATTGCTTTTATTTGCATGTAAATCAAGTTCTTTGCTTTTTAAATCATTCATGACAATTTTAAGATTCATATTATTTCTACCATACTTAATAATAGACTTAACATCTGAAAAAGATTCGAAAATTGCATTTAAGAGAACTATTGAGGTATATTCATCAATGCTTTTATCTCTCGTTTGCTTTATATCTTGAACAAATTTAGTGAAACATCCAAATTCTCATCAATATTTTTATTCAAATCAAATTTAAACCGAAAAAAATTCAAGTAAAAACAATTTATTAGGTAGGGATTTTTCAAAATAAAGTTCTTTTAATTGATCTCACGGTTCTTTTGAAGAATCAGATAAGTTCAAAATAACTAGAGAATGTGCATGTTCATCTATTACGACTTTCTCTCTTCAGTCATTAAAGGACTAAAATCGTCATCAATTGTTTTGGATACCATTTGAGTAACCAAAATACTTTTCACATTTTGTTGCCAAATTGAAAATTCAATTTTTTCATCTAACGGTGAAATATTAAATATAGGTGACATATATTCACAAAATTAACAACTTATCAGTGCTACTTACTCGCTCTTGGAGCAGCCGAATACTTGATAAGTGTGTTAGGCAACACAGTTAAGTCACACGTTAATCATATAGAATTAAACAAAAGTACCCTATGATTATCTAACACATAGAAGTTGAAGGGTTAGCCATTCGTTACTGAGTTATGGCAATTTTACCAATTTTTGATACACCCGTAAAATTGTAGATTCAACTGTGTTCAATGCTTACCTAAGGCTCTGATACCACTGATCGGGTTTTTAGATCGATTTGGAACACTTGTAAATTCCAAGGAACCCGAACCGATGGACAAAAATCGATAATACTTATTATTTTTATATTATTTACACAATTCTTATTCCCTACTTAAAAAAAATTATTTCAAACTGGATGCACAAAACAAACACACCACAATTGACATTTTTTGATACATATATACACACACAAAACTTCATCTTTTTGATTAGTATAGGATTTGTTCGGTTCTTGTTTGAGTTTGTATAACATGAATTTTGATTTAAATAAAATTTTAATTTAATGTTTTATAAAAAATTATATTTTTTGGAAACTAAATAATAATGATTAATGTTTCAAATCAAAACAAATCAGGCGGTATATATCCAAAAGATTATAATAGTGTACTTAAATGATAATTATACATAGAATCTAATAAAAATATTTGGTAGATATAAAATTTATTTATAAATTATTTAATAGACATTGATTCCTTGGAAAAAATGTAATCACATTTGAAAAGATACGTTGAATTCTCTATTTTGAATAATATTATTGAAAAATTCAAATTCAGACCAATAAAAGAAAAAAAGAAAGTCTAGAATGCAGAATTGGATTATTTTTGAGTAAGTTAACAAATTAATTACCCGATTTCTTATCATATCAGCTCTATAAGTAAATTCAGATAATGTTTATAATTCAAACAAAAATTAATTAAGCATTTAATTTTATTTGCCAGTTATGCTATTATAGAAAAAAGAAAAAAAAAATCTTCATGTTCTATAGAAGGGTAAGTATTTATTGTTTTTCACTAAAATTGTGTCCCAATTAAATAATATAAAAAATATTTCCCGGAGAGATCTCTCCGTTCCAATTAGCCATTGGGCGCGAAGAGCACGTGATGCTCACGTGATTGCCATTCTCTACACGACGTTCTCGCCCTCTCTCTGAAATTCATAAAACCCTATTTTCCAGTCTCGTCTCCTCCCCAAAGCTTCTTCAACAATGGCGGATTCGCTTTCCAGAGGATTCTTCGCAGGTAATAACACCTTGTGGAAAGCTATCCTGTCTGCCGGAATTTTTCTCTACCTCCTCCTCGTTCTCTATTCCAACAGACAGAATCCCAGCGTGTTCTTCATCCGATGGCCGCCGCCGGCGGATATTTCTCCGATCGGAGACGACGGGGACGGCGACCGGACGAATCTCAGCCACATAGCGTTCGGGATCATGGGCTCCGTCGCGACCTGGCCGAAGCGGCGGGGCTACACGGAGGCCTGGTGGCGCCGGAACCAAACTCGCGGCTTTATCTACCTCGACCGGCAGCCGCCGCCGGAATACCTGCCGTGGCCGGAGACGGCGCCGCCGTACAGGGTGGTGGACAACATCTCGTACCTGTTCCAGACCGTTAAGCCCCGGTTCGAACTGATGCCTAGAATGGTCCACGGGATCCTGGAGCTTTTCCGGGAGGAGGACCGCGGCGGCGCCGGCGGGCTGAGATGGATCGTGATGGGCGACGATGATTCGATTTTTTTTGTGGATAATATTGTGGATGTGTTATCGGAATACGATCATAATAAGTATTATTATTTGGGTTGGCATTCGGAGAGCGTGATTTCGAACTACTGGTTCTCGTTCGATCAGGCGTTCGGCGGCGGCGGGATTGTTCTGAGCTACCCGGCGGCGAAGGCGCTGGCGGCGGACATGGAAGGGTGCCTGGTGAGGTATGCGAAGAGCAGTTCTGCAGATTTGATTACAATGACTTGTATTGCAGACATTGGTGTCAATCTTACACCCCACAAAGGAATCCATCAGGTATTTGCAATTCTTTTTTTTTTATATATATATATATATATATATATACATTTTTGTTAATTATTTTTCATTACAATAATAATAATAATAATAAAAATAATCCCTTCGTCCCAAAATAATAGGGACATTTGGGATTGATACGAGAATTAAAAAATAATAGTACTACCTCCGACCAGAAAAAAGAATAACATTTGTTTTTTGAAAGTAAATTTTTGAATATTAGTATTATATTGATTTATAATAAAAAAGAATACCCCTATTAGATTGTATGATAAAAAAATAATAAAAATTGTGTAATATATTGAAAGTTGTAAGAGTATTAATTATGTTAGGTATTTAGTAAATTACTAAATTAGGAAATAATATCTTTTTTTTTTTACGGAAAAAAATGGAAAATAGTATCATTGGGTCAGAGGGAATATTATATTGATATTGGGGTAAGAGTGTTTTTAAAAGACGAAAACGACCATACTTTATATATAATTATTGTGAAAAAGTGAGGATAATTTTGTAAAAAAGTGGAGAGAAAGTGAAACTATTGTTTTTAAGACGAAGAGAGTAATAAACACATTTCTAAGTATTTACAAATATATCATTACATATACATATATTGGATAGAATTTTGGTTTGGAATGTGAATTAGTAAAAATTTTAAATTTGAATAGTTGCATAACCTATAAATATAAGTAAATGTTAATGTGAAATTGTGAATGTAAAAATTAATTATTACTCCTTCGTCCCACATAATTTGTCCCTATTTTCTATTATCGTCCGTCCCATATAACTTGTCTTTTCTATTTTTGGAAATATAATTATGCACTTTAATCGCATTTTAAATTTTAAATTTTATAATTTTCTTATTTTTAATTAAACTATTTACTTATCTTAATCTTAATCTATAATTATTTTTACTAAATAATAATTATTTTTACTAATACACTTCTTAATTACTTACTAATTATACTTTACCTAAATTCCAGTGTCTACAGTAATACATCCATATTACATGGGACGAAGGGAGTAGTATAATATAAAAAATAAAAATAATAAGTATTTAATTGGATATTTTTGAGAATATTTTTTGATAAATAGTAGAAATTTGTAAAAGTTGTATAAACGAACATATATCAAAACATAGTTCAAATTAAGAAAATATTACGAAAATTACTTCAATTAGTATCTTATAATACTAATAGAAGAATATTTGTACAAAAAAATTATACAAATATAAAAATATTTTTAATGTTAAATATAATAACACAAAAGGTAAATGTAACTCTTAACGGACGGAAAAAATACTATATTAATTAAAATTCGTGTCACCGAATGACAGTATACTTTGTGATTAAAAAAATATATTATTTTTTAGCATACTATAAAAATTTAAATATATAATTTCATCCGGGACGGCCATAATATTTTTATATATATATATATATATTTTTTTATATTATTTATGGAGAAAATAGAAAGAAAGAAGATGATAATGATTGATATCTAACTTAATTTGTATGACTATTCGAATTCCATGGAATTATTGTCATTCAAGAGTCAAACTCCATAGCAACCAATGAATTTTCTTCGTTCCACAATAAGTGAAAAATTGATGATTTGATGTAATTTAAATAAATATTAAATATAATATTTGAAATAAAAAATAAATTTTAATAAATATAAAAATATATTCAATATGACGTTTTGTAAAAAATTAATATATATTTTAGAAAAATACATGTAGCATTAGCTTAAATATACAATGACTATTCTATACATTTATTTACTTTAGTTATGCTATGAAATAATATTAATATGATATTTGCGATAGATAAATATTTACTCCATCAGTCTCGGTACGATGAGTTTAGGTAAGGAGTATTAAGAATGTTAATTTGAGATAATTTGGATATTAAGTAATGTGATTGGAGAGAAAAATAATTAATTATTTTTTTTTTTATTTGAGTGATATGATGGGATAAAGTGAAGTGTATATTAATATATGTATAAAAATATTACTGTATTAATTATTTCTAAATTTGAAAATATTGCAATGAGTTTGGACAAATAAAAAAAAATGTTGCAAAGTGTTTGGGACGGAGGGAGTACTTTTTTTGTTTCAAAATAATAATTCTATTTTGTCATTTTCGTTTGGTAACTAGCTTTTCATTTTTGACAAAACTATTCCTATTTTTTTAACAATAATTATTTAAAGTAGAGACATTTTGGTCTTTTAAACACAATTTTATCCAACTATCAATATAATACTGCAGAAATTTAAGTGAACAGTATTAAGTAGTATAATTTGGAGATGATGTGATTTAATTGGAAAGAGAAATGTATTTTTATTTTATTTTTTTATTTAAGTAATGTGATAGAATAAAATTATTGTAAAATATTTGAGACGAAAGAAGTATTTTATAATAGATTAAAAATAATACTAGTATTTTACTTTTAGTGCTTTGTATGAACCTATATTATATACCGAAATCAATAATAACATGTTTTGCATAGATTATTGTGTACTTTCTAGTAAATTTACAAATATTCTTACAACTTAAAATATATTATATAAATGCCATTATTTTTATATCACACAATACTAATAAAATTATTTTAATTTTTTTTATTATATTCATATCATATTATATTATAATATTAATATTCTTAAAACTCCGTAAAAAAAATAAATAGATAGATAATGGAGTGAATGAGTATTTTATTTATAATTTTCTACTATTCTTTATTAGTGCAAAATAAAAGTTAAACCTTCCTCTTAAACAACGTGGGTTGTTAATTTTAAAACCCTAAAAACAGCAACCAAACACGGCCTTAACAAATCCTCCACGTGTCTGTCTGTCAATCTGTCCAGGTGGACCTCCACGGCGACTTCTCCGGCTACCTCTCCGCGCACCCCAAAGTCCCTCTGCTGACGTTCCACCACTTCGACGCCATGGACCCCATCTTCCCCAAAATGGACCGTTTCCAGTCCACGCGCCACCTCATGACCGCCGCCGCCGCCGACCAGTCCCGCCTCCTCCAGCAGACCATCTGCCACCACCGCCCCTCCAACTGGACCTTCTCCGTCGCCTGGGGCTACTCCGCTCAGATCTACGAGTCCATCTTCCCCAGAAGCTTCCTCCAAATGCCCATCGAAACTTTCCGGCCATGGGCCAAGGGCCCTAAGCCGCCGTTCTACATGTTCAACACGCGCCCTGTCCCGGCCGACCCCTGCGACGCGCCGCACTGGTTCTTCCTCGAATCGGTCTACCGGACCGTCGCCGGCGACCGGATCGTCACCGGATACGCCCGGGCCCGCCCGCGGGGTCTGCCGCCGTGCGCCGCCGCCGGCAACCATTCCGCCGACCTGATTACTTATGTGAGAGTGTTTTCTCCGGCGAGAAAACGTGTTCAAGTAAGATTATAACCATACGTAATTTTTTAGTTAATTTATTTGTAATTTGGGAATTTTAATTAATTAATTAATTAATTAAATTTATTTTATTTGAGTAGATGGATCGATGCGAATGCTGCGACGTGGGGCGAGTGGATGGATCGACGGCGGAGATTAAATTTAGGGAGTGCAGTGATAATGAGGTTATTGCTTGATTTAATCATCTATATGGAGTGTTTTTGTAAGTTGGGAGCATACATATACAGTCCAGATAGAAGAACTCCAATATTTTATTATTATTATTTTCATTGCATACAGTGGTTTGTAAATTCAATTTGAGTAATTCATTCTGTGATCATATATAAATATTGGTCCTAAAAGAACATGTTTAAGGCTTATATATTCAAAATATTGCAATATTTTCTTTTATTTTTTTGGTAATTTTCAATTTTTAAACATATCGTATTATTTTTTGTACCGGCCCGCGGACCCATACTAGACCCGGTTAACACAATGGTGGCCTCAGGCAGGTCCCGTGGGATCAATTTTTAATATATTTTGAGCTCAGGCTGGGTTAAAATATTTAAAATTGACCCGGCCCGCGGTTTGTTATTATGGTTGGTGGGTTGGATTTAAAACTTTTTTTGGGCAAAATAACATAAAAGCCCAATATGGTTTTCGGATTTTGCTAAAAATCTCTTCTGATTCAAAAATTTTGTATTATTTAGTTATGATTTTCAAAATATTGCATAAAAACTCGTCGTCTCTGTTAGTACGTAGACGTGTTTGATGAAGAGTTTTTTTCAAGAGCTATTAGCTAATTGAACAATTTTTAATTGTTTGACCAGTTATGATTTTGTATTATTTAGTTATGATTTTCAAAATATTGGAACTAAAAGGCTGATTCCTAAAAATAGGGGAGGATACGGTTCGAGTATTTGCGAATATACTGGTATTTGATATATGAACCGAACCAAACAAATATCCAAAACTACAAATCGTATTCAAACTGAAAATTAATACAAAATATTTGCAAATAATTCGAACCGAACCAATTTTTTTTTAAAAAATATATTAAAAATTTAATTTAAAAAATATTTCAAATATCTAAACCGAACCCGAACCGAACCGAATATAATTATTAATATAAAATTAAAATATAATAATATAAATATATAAATATATTCGGGTTCGGTTAACCGAACTAGAAAATATAAAAACATGAAACCGAACCGAACCGAACAAATATCAAATATGCAATATTTGTATTCAAACTGAATTTGCTCGGTTAACCGAAAATTTGGTTCAGTTCAGTTCGGTTCAGCTATTCGACGATTCAGTTCGATTTTTTTTGCCCACCCCTATTTAAAAAGCTATATAACCCAACGATTTAAAAGAGATTTTTCATTTTAATTTTTTTTATTTCTTATTTGCTCTAAAAAAAATTATTATTTATTTCACATACATATAAATATATTTTGTATTGCAATAATTATTAATTAGTTTAATATATTTTCTTTAATAAATTCTAAATTTATTTTTATAAATACACTTAGAATAATTAAATTTTATATTAAAAAAAATAAAATAGAATAAATTTATTGAAAGTTATAAATACTCCGTCCCTCGGTCCGCCAAATTTACTCTCCTTTTTCTTTTTTGTTTGCTCGTTAAATTTACTTTCTTACTAATTTTGCAAAATCGAATATTCAACATTCAACATTTAACATTTAACTATTAACTTTTATTCTATACTTATTTACTATTTTTGTGACTACTTTTGTACACTCTCTCTCTTTATTTCATTTAATTACTAACTAAATTTTTAAAAATACAATTAACTAATTTATTTAATTTTCTTACTTTTTCAATAAAATATTTATTTTTCTTAATGTCTGCGCTAACTCCAAATTTGCTAATTTTTCGGACGGAAGAAGTATAATAAAATAAAATATTAATTAATGATAACATAATAAATATATATATAGCAAAAATCAATTATAGTCTCGTTCAAAACCAATTTTTTTATTTTTGGTCCTACTAATTTTTTTTAATTATTAAAACTAATCCTACACAAAACAAAAATCATCATTTTTAGTCATACCGTTCAAATTTTAATGAACTGTGTTGATGTGGCAAGTATAAAAGTTATTTTGGCAGCTGAGTCAGATTGAATACAGTTGTGTTACATAGAATACAACCGTGGTCAAACATATAGCTCAATCACCGTCCTGACCGATTTCAACACGGTCGTGTTGAAACAAAACACGTATGTGTTTCGCCTTAACCTCATAACACACCCGTTTCAGTTAGCATGTTCAAATACAACGTGTTTATACAAACGCCCGTGTTCAAACTCAGAACACCACTTGATCTTAACTTATGTAAACACGGCCGTGTATAGAAGTGTACACGGCGTGTTTAACCTCACTCACATAAAAAACCCTAGCCCCACATGTCCCCACTTCACAACACAGCATAGACGGCCAACACAGTCGACAACCAACATTTTTGCTACCAAATTCCCCACATTCCAATTCTATATTCTCAACATTCCAACTCCACATTCCATCCCCACATTTTCAACATTTCAATCCCATATTCCACATATTATATTTTTATATTCTTTGGATTAAAGATGTAAATTTTAAATTAATTTTTTTCTTTATTTTTTTTTTTGTATTTTATGATATAAAAAATGATAATATGTGTAGCATGTATTTTTTTGTGATTAGTAAATTATAATGTATGAAAAAAATAAATATTATAGAGATAAGTTTTATATAAGGTATTTTTTTATTGATTAATGCATACATTTTTATCTTTTTTATAGCTAGTGTATTGAATATATGTTATATTATAACTTGTATTGTTTTTTTCTTTATTTTTTTTTGTATTTTATGATATAAACAATGATAATATGTGTAGCATGTATTTTTTTTGTGATTAGTAAATTATAATGTATGAAAAATATAAATATTATAGAGATAAGTTTTATATAAGGTATTTTTTTTTATTGATTAATGCATACATTTTTTTTTTTTATAGCTAGTGTATTGAATATATGTTATATTATAACTTGTATTGTAGGAAAAAAATTCATTATCATAGAAAATAATTACGATAAGGGAAAAGATGTTGGAGAAATATATGTGAAGATATAGATTTAGATTGCAATGAAATTAGAGAAGAAGATGAGTGAAATGAAATGCTTAGTGAATCAGATTTTGAGCATTATGTATAATGGAATAACAACATTCGAAAGATGATATGATTGATTGATCATTGTTTGAGAATAATGTGGATATAAATGAGTTTAATCAAAATCAAAGGGTCGTAGTACACCTAAATTATGAAGATGAGATGTCACTTCGTGATTCTCAAGATAAAGATTTAACCAGTTTTGTCGAGTTTGATGTTGATGAAATATAGTCGTATATCATTTAAGATCTAGCGTCAAAGTATGATCTTACTTTTAGTCTTGGAATGATTTTTAGCTCGAAAAAATAATTTAAAAATGCAATTCAGAACCAATCTATCAAGACAATGAGAAGTTTGAATTTGTCAAAATGATAAAAGAAGAGTTTATGTCTGAGGTGTCGTTGAGAATTGTAATTGGAAAATGAACCCAGTAAATGTGAATGATCAACCATATTTTCAACTCATAACATATAATTACAACCATGATTGTATGTGCGACTTGAATGTAAAGAATGTTAAGTCGTTGTGGCTTGCAAAGAAATATAAGTCGTTTTGATTAGATCCTAAACGATGTATAAAGGGATTCAGAACATACGTTACAGAAGACATTAGATGTAATATATCCCAACAACAAGCATATAGAGCGCGGAAATGGGCACTGAAAGCAATTGAAGATGATGCAGAAGAGCAATATGTAAAATTGTAGAACTATGCCGAAATTTTACGATAGTCTAATCCTGGGTCAACTATTTTGATGTAGCTGGAAGACGAATTTTTGAATGAAAGGCACAGATTTAGTAAGTATTACATATGTTTGAAATCGTTTGTGTGTGGGTTTTAGTCTGGGTGTCGACCTATCATCGGGGTTGATAGTTGTTACCTAAGAAGTCCTTGTCAATACATTCTATTAACTGCTATTGGAATTGACTCTAACAATGAATTGTATCCATTGGCATATGTTGTTGTTTAGAGTGAGATCCGTGAAGCTTGGGAATGGTTTTTACTCTGTTAAGAGAAGATTTGAACATAGAGCACGATGATTATACTTCTATATCCGACAAACAAAAAGGTCTCGTGCCGGACATGGAAAAGATTTTCCCCTAATGTGAAAATATTTTGTGTTCGGCATTTGTATAGAAACATGAAAACAACATAATTTAAAGGTCTTGCATATAAAAAATTGATTTGGATGGCTGTCGTTGCAAGTAATGTTCCCGAGTTTGAGGAGGTGATGAAAGAAATTCAAGAGTTAGATCTGAAATGCATTAATTGGCTTGCCGACAAGCCACTGTCTCAGTGGTCAATATCGCATTTTGCTACATTTTCTAAATGTGACATGATCTTGAACAATTTATATGAGTCATTCAATATTATAATATTGTATGCAAAAAAACTGTAGAAAAATGTTGATCTTGCTGATGTTTGAGTGAATTAGAAGATACTTATTAATAGATTTCAGAAGCAAATGGGGATAGCACAAAGAAAATGGGGGATATGCGTTTTTTCTGGAAAATAGTAAAAATTATGGATGAAAACATTCAGGCGACTTATTCTTGCACACCCATTAAATTCGACGATTGGCGTTACGCGATTTATTGTTTGGATAGGAATCGATTCGTTGTTGATATTTTACAAAAATCTTGTAGTTGTAGAAAATGAGAATTATGCGGGATCCCGTGTCGCCATGTGATAAATGCTATATTTGGACAACAGTTAAATTCAGAGGACTTTGTTGACAAAATATACAGTGTTAAGACATTCAATAAAGTGTATTCGTACTCTATTGGCGTAATGGATGGTCAAAAAATGTGCCAAAAAACTGAATTGCCTCCACCAATTCCTCCTAGTGTTAGACGATATGCTGGAAGGTCTAAGAAGGCTATGAGACGTGAACCCAACGAAGTAATGGAGAAAGGTCGATCATAAGGAAAAAAATGTCAGTGATAATACTCTGCCAAGACAAATAATAAGAAGAACTTGCAAATATTGTGTTCTTGTTGGGCATTCTTTAAAG